ATTACACAGCTAGGATAAATTTTGCTCTCATCGCCTGGGAGACGAAAAAACAATTGCGATGGTACGGGCATGTAAGCAGAAGAGATCCATATCACAAGAGTGGATTGTCTCTGGGGTCGCTAAAAAAAGACCACGAGGAAGGCTAAAGATGAGGTGGTTAGACAGAGCCGACCTAAGAGAGCTAAGGATAGATGAGCATCATATCTTATCGAGAATACTGGATTAGTTAGCGTGTATAGCAGACCCTGCGTAAGCGGCTCCCCAAGCCACCTTGAGACATACTGGTGACCCGAGGTAAAAGCAAGATTTTAGCAGGGCCTCTTGCGGTTAAACTTTTCCATCAAAAAACTATGAATCTTAACTTGATTGTTTTTTTTCTTAAAATTCCAACTAAAAATAATTTATTTGATTCAAATTGAAATATTTGAATGTCCTTCAAAACCTTTTGAGAAGTCGTGCGTAGAAACATAAATAGTGGTTTATTTTGATTAGATATCCGATTTATTTTTTTATCAATGTCTGTAAAGGAGTGTAATGCAGAAAATCTGAAGTCAAGAAGAAGTTTTGAATGCCAAACTAAATGAATCAATCTGTAAGCGAGGATGCTGTGAATATCACAGAGCAAGAGTACTGTGTAAGAGATTCGAATTGGGTAATAAAAGCAGAAGACAGCCTCCTTTAAGGGCACAAAAGTCAGAAATAAGTCATGCACATCGACTTTCCGATTTCTCGGCGATAAGTAGTAGGATATAGAAGAGAAGAAATGAAACGATGAACCCGCTAATCTAAGCTTGTGTTAAAGAATAGTCATCTCTTTTTATGGCTTTTCTGTGGTACATTCTACTTACCTCCACTAAGAATACAGGATCAGAAAAAGTTAGTGTTCAAAGTGAATACTAAACGAGCGTAGCTTAGAAGTTTTGGTAGCAATTAATGAATCTACAACACGCTTAAGGGTCTAATTGGACTCGAAAGAGGGAACCATATATGGGTTTTGGGCAAGCTATACATCTCTTAGATAAATCCATTTTGAAAATCGGTAACAATCTTTGCTTGGCTTTTACATAATCGGTAGCAGCTGTATACTTGACAAATTAACCAAACAACTTCTTTTTTATAGCAGTCTTTGCGAGGATCTCACTGATCTTTGCACCTAGGTGATACGGCGGAACTAGCTGTATCAATAGCCATTCAAATCCGAAAACAAGAATATCGTCTAGAACAGTCGCCCGCTTTGCT